ATTTCTCAAATCATGCTCTTGATGAATGCTTCAACCTGTATAGGAATTTTTTTTAGTCTGCACACCTTTGTGCCAAACTTGTCATTGAATCCCGGAGGTACATCTATACACACGTATTCTTTCAAGTTCTCATTGTGGGAGACATTCTTTATATCCAATTGTTGTAAGGGCTAGTCAAGATTATCTACAAGTGACAGAAGTACCTTTACTGAGTTTAGTTTTGCAACTGGAGGGAATGCCTAGAGATAATCAATGTCGTTTATCTGAGTAAATTGCTTAGCAACCAATCTGGCACAACCTTGTGCCGTTCTAAAGAACCATCAAAATTATACTTGATTGAAATACCCATTTGCATCCGACAGTTATCTTTTCTTTGGGTAGATCAACCACTCATCTCCTCAAAAATTGTCTCCATCCACTTAGGGACTTTCAGAGCATCCTACACAGTTAGGAGAATCTCTATATGTGATAATTATGAGGTAAAAGCGTGAAAGTGGATGAGAGGTGATCGTATGACACATAATGAGACAGTGGTTGTTGAGTGCTGGGCACATTTGACTCGAGATTTATACTAGTCTCAAGATTTGACGACAAAGTCAACTGAACTGGAAGTACCCTTACCGAGTTTAGTTTTGCAACTGGAGCGACTGTCTCAAGATAATCAGTGTGGTATGTCTGAGTAAATCATTAGCAACCGATCTAGCCTTGTGCCATTCTAAACAACTATTAAAATTATACTTGATTGTAAACACCCATTGCATTCGACCGTTATCTTTCCTCTAGGTAGATCAAACACTTCTCATATTTCATTTTTTTCAAGAGCTTTCATCTCCTCGAAAGTAAACTCCATCTACTTAGGGATTTTTAGAGCATCTTACACAATTTTAAAGACTCTCTATATGTGATAATTGTGAGGTAAAAGCGTGGAAGATGGGTGAGAGGTAATCATTTGACACATAATGGGACAATGGATGTTGAGTGTTGGACACATTAGACTCGGGATTTATACTAGACTTAGAATTTGAAGCCAAAGTGTACTGAATATGAGGTAATGGATTAGTAAGGACGTTACTTTGGTTTACGGATTCTGGACAGTGCAAATGATTCGTAGACCCATTCTTTTGAATTGTCCTCTGTCGCGAGTAAACACAATCGAACAATTTCACCATCGTCGTTCTTTTTTTCTGTTTCTTCATTGTTCTGAACAACATGAGATGACACTATAAGAACTTTAATATCTAAAAGAATCAACACACTTTTCTGATATGAAATCACTTGGCTTTTCAAGTTGACAATCAAGGTTTGAAACCTAACATTTTGGGAGTTTTCAGTTTGAAAAAAAATTGTGAAACTCAGTAGACATATTTTTGTTTTGTTTTTTCCCTTGAAGGTGAGATGAAAAAAAAAGGATTGTAATTCAAAAAAGGTGACGTTTATAGTAGCAAGCATTTTATTCAAATTGAGATCAAAATATTTATACCCTTTTGGGTAGGAGCATAACCAATAAACATACTTATTTTGGCTTTGAGTTAGAGTTCTTTAAAAGACTCAACACACTCTCTCCTGATATAAATTCACTTGGCTTTTCAGGTTGACAATAAATGTTAGAGACCTAACATTTTTGGAGCCTTCGGTTTGAAAAAAATCTGAAACTCAATAGTCATATTTTTGTTTTGTTTTTCCCCTTGAAGGTGAGATGTAAAAAAAAGTGATTGTAATTTAGGAAAGGTGAGGTCTATGGTAACTAACATTTTATTCAAATTGAGATTAAAATATTTATACTCTTTTGGGTAGGAGCATACCCAATAAACACACATTTTTTGGCTTTGAGTTAGTTTTTTTTTTATTATGAGTGTGAACAATAGTAATACACCCAAATATCTTTAGAGATAAGGATGTTAAAAGTCTAGTTTTTTTGAAATAATTTTTGAAAAATATAAAAAGTTGTTTCAAACTCGAAAACTTTATTAATTGTTCTGTTTGTGAGAAATATAACAGTGAAAACAACTTTATCCTATAGATATTTGGGTACCTGATTGGTAAATAGCAAAACCTGAGCTACTTTCAATAAGTGCTTGTTTTTTCTTTTAGACAACTCATTTTGTTGAGAGTTGTCATAAAAGCTTTAATGAATTATTTCTTTTTCAAGAAAGAATTGGCCTAATGTATTTTTTAAATGCTCTCGGCCATTAAAATTTCATAATATTTGAATGATTGTATAAAATTTGGTTTGTACCATGGTGTAAAAATTTTCGAATCAATTTTTTTCATCAAATAAACTCAGATTAACCTAGTGTGATAATCAGTGAAACTCACAAATCATATTTTTCTGTCTGTATGAATTTTACAACAACCCCATATATCACTGTGAATCAAAGTTAATGATGTATCAAGTTTTTATATTTGTGGAGGAAATGATAATTAGTAATAATTTTACTATTGAATAACAAATTATATGATAATGTAGGAAGATGAAGAGCATCACGAAGGGTTAACAATGAGGAGAGTTTGATAGTTGTATCCGGATAATTACCGAGAGGCAACTAATTAACAAATTTGATCTTTTCATTGCCTGCACAAGGTTTATTGGAAGAAAATAATTTAGGGCCCGGTAATTAGAAAAAATTAGGAATAAAACCAAACCTGTCATATGATTTGTGGTCAGAGTGTTACCCTTTGGTACTGAAGAGCAAGATGGAGTTAGGGATGGTTTTGGAGATTTAAATGAATTTTTGCAAGTGCTTTAATTGTTTCTTGGTAAAAGAGATTGTATTGAGTTATCAGCCGGCTCCTGAGTTTCTTAAAATGGTTGATAAGTTTGATCTTAATGCTTGGATTTTGATTTCCAATTTGCAGTTTTTCCATGAAGCTTCCAATTTGTGTACTGTATTTGCAATTTTTTTTTAATGCTCGCACCATGATTTTTTTCTTCTTTGTCAGTGTCATCTCCTTTTGATACAAGAGCCGGGTTCTTCTGTTCAATGTTACCAGACAATTCAGTGCTGTACAACATATTTTTCTTTATGGATTATTCTTGACTGAGGTTTCTTATCAATGATTCAATCTTGAACTTCATCTAAACACCAATTAAAGCTAGCTTAGAAAATGTAGATTCGATTGTTTTTCTCTTGTTTCTTGTGCTAAGCTTAGTCATTTGCATTTTCTCGATTGATCAAGGTCACGCATAATGTTACTACCTCATTGTAATTCATAGTAACATCACAGTCAATTTTGTTTGGATTTTCAAAGTTGAGTTTTCAACTAAAAAAATTGCGAAGCATTCTCCAAGTCTGAATAGGGATCTCGAATAGCCTCTCAAATATCTCAAGCAGTAAGAAGGAATAGATGTGGCTTTCCTATGATAGGTTCGATGAAATTGTTGAGCGAGGTCATAAATATAGAATTTTCGGACTGCCATTTTTTCAAATTCGGATCACTGACAGTAGGTTTTAAAATTTCTCCGGATAAATATTTAATTTTTTCTCTTCTATCGATCATTAATTTTATGGATTGAACCCACTCAAGGTAGTTGTGCCAATTGAGTTTTATAACAGTGGATACTGTGGTTAAGGGGATGATACTTAGCCGTTACGAATGTAGGGCAATGAAATATAGTTTCAGAATGACTGGAACCGATTGATGTGGTAGAATTTTCTTGAACTTCTGTAATCATTGCTGATTTTTAAGATATCCTCAGAATATGAAAGTCAACTCGATCCCTATTGCACAAGCTGCGTGGAACTCATTTACTTTGCGATCCTGATCTTTGGTTCCTATCAGGAAGAATTCAAAACTCTTATACTCAATAATCTGTTTACTTTCCACATAAGCGGCATTGAACTCCTTGTTCTTGATCATTGTTTTCGATCAAGAATGACATGAAGCTCCTGTATGTCACAATCTGCTACTTTCCCGTGCATGTTCAAACCTGCTATTGAGATGGAAAAAACGTAGGCGGAGGCAGTTGGAAGCTTTATGTTAGGTTAAAATAGTATTTTTGAAGGTTTTTGAAGGATCTGTTTACTTTCCCGTGCATGTTCAAACCTGCTATTGAGATGGAAAAAATGTAGGCGGAAGTAGTTGGAAGCTTTATGTTAGGTTGAAATAGTATTTTTGAAGGTTTTTGAAGGAGACACAAGAAGGCAGCGGAAGAAGACGCAGCACGGGTCTAGGGTAGTCGAAGATGCTTCGTGCATGCGGATTGTCGCGTTTTTACTGGTTTTATGTTGTTCGTTGTAAGAAGATTCACGCTGCACATGTATTGGGCCGTTCGTCGCAGGTATCGAACGAATGCGGTAGACTTGAAGAGGAAGCAAACGAACAACGCAAGTGGCTTCGACCTCGATGAAGATTAGGGCACTTTCGTTGTCTCTGATACAATGTAATTTTTAGAGAAGGAAAAGGAAAAAAAAATATTTCTCTTCAATTTCTTATCAAACAAGTACAAGATAAATTAGGGGGGATGACTCTTACATTAGGAAAGATGAAGTTAACCATAACTCCCCATGATAAAATACCAATTCTATATTCTAAATATAGAATATACTAAAGTAGAAGATACTAAATAATATTCTTAAAAATTCGAACACTTAATTTGTACTCCCACTCTTTGGTTCATTCATTCAAGGATTAGGCTCTATAAATTTCATAGTATAACATATATGATTCAGAATTCGAAAGGAGAACTAGATGACATGAGTATGGTCCATCTTTCTGCTAAATGCAGTGGTTCAGAAATGCCCCAAAGATGTAGTAAAGCAAACATATACTGTCAAATCAATATGAATAAAAGGTCAAGCAGAATATAGGAGGAACACATTTTTTCATTTTTTTATTTTGTTTATAAATTTTTGTACTTATTTTACTCATTTTCTGCTGTCTTAGTTGTATTTCTTTTATTATTTGGTTGAATCGCGGTTCATTTGTCTTGAAAATTTGATGTTATATTATATTTGGCAAAGAGTTCACTTGTTTTTGTTTCATGGGACTTTTTTTTGTAGGGAGATCAAAGGTCTCCTGGTATAATACCATTGGCTGTGAAGGATGCGTTTAGCATTATACAAGAGGTTTTGTGAATGAACTGACAACTGACTCCTTTAAAAAAAATTCTGTTTCCTTACTAGCTTTTTGTAAAAGGCCTTTTATTTTTTGTAGACACCAAATCGAGAGTTTCTTCTTCGTGTCTCCTACTTGGAAATCTATAACGAGGTTTGGCTTATCTGACCATTTTTTTTCTAGGTTTTTGTAGCTTTGTGCTTGAATTTTCTTTGAGCAATTCCTATTCTTATTTGCACACATCTTTCCATTGCATTGATTCAGTTCATTATTCTTAAATGGTCCAATATCATGTGCTTTTTACATTTCTGAAAATCACAATTCCAACTGTTTCTTTGAAATTTTTTGTTTTTCTACAAATATCATGACTTCAGCATATAAACCTTTCAGTTGACTAAGAAACTTTCAATGAACACGTGACATATTCTATCCACAATGCTTAATATATTTTCCACTTTGATGCAAGCCTTGATTGATCATGGTTGGAGAGAATAAATATGAATATGATTTCTTACAATTGACTTTTGAAATAGAAACGTGCCTGCTTAATTGATCATATACTTATGCCTCGATCGAGGTTGAATTTGATCTTTGATCTGCATTTAGTTGGCATTTCACACATCTTATAAATCCACTTCTGCCATACTCTTCTAGTTGGGGACTTTCTAGGTATTTGCCATATTATTTTTCTTCTCTAGTTGGCATTGAGTCTGGCTGGTATTGAATCTGTTGGTTACAATCATTAATAAGCAGTCACCATCATTTTTTGCATCGAGTTAAGGTGCCTCTCTGAGATTGAACTTAAAAGTCTTCATATTGAAGTGTGTAAAAATAGTGACTTTAGAACTTCAAAGCAATTATGATGGCAGACAACTTTAAGTCATTAGTAGAATTATTATTTGCCTGGACCATGATCTGGTGGCAGTCACCATCATTTTTTTGCGTCAAGTTAAGGTGCCTCTCTGAGATTGAACTTTGAAGTCTTCATATTGAACTTCGCTAAAACTTCCAAGCAAATATGAGGGCAGCTAACTTTAAGTCATTAATAGAATTATTATTCGCCTGCACCATAAACTGCTTGGAAACATAAAACATAACCTCACCTTAATTTTAAGCATTTATGGGTCTGGAACACATCATTTCCTGATGGAATGTGGAAGTTTCAATTTCTTGAAGTTCCGATTTTTGGAACGACATCTTTCAAATTTGATAGGCTTTCAGGACTGCCTTGTTGTCAATAATTTAACAATGCAACCAATCAATGATGGCCTTAGTTTTCAATCAATAAAATTTTAATTTGAATTGACATCGTTTTGTATGCAAGGAAAGCACCTTCCTTAATTAGCATTCATGGTTGAATAACTTTGCATAAAGCTTGTTTTCTCAGTTTATAGAGAATTATTGAGTGAGCATTCTTAACCCATTTTTTTAGCATAGCAAAAATGTAGTTAGAGCATTTCTCGACTAGCTTCACCATGATCATGGCAGTTTCATTGCTTGCTTTGGCATTGCACAACCATTTGCTTCGATTTTTGGTATCCAGAGCATTAATTAATCTAAAAATGCCAACGTGCCTTGCCTTGCTGGCGTGCAGTAGTCAAATAATCCAACCTGCATGTAGTCAAAGAAGCCATCAATATGAGGTGGGGGGTATTATTTATTTTTTGCATTTTTCACCTTTTTAGCTGTTATAATTGATGCACAGATTTATGCTTCTTATTCTTCACAGAAAGCATATGCGCTAGCCAATGTGACATGCTATGGTCTATGCCCAATGAATTTTCTTATTCAGCAACTTTATTCCATAATGAAAATTTTAGTTAGCAACTTCTGCAATTGGACCTTAATTTTTGAAGTTTAGAAGTGGCCATTTTTTATGATGCCTTTAATATTTGAAGGCTACGCAATACCAGATCCATGAACTTAATTTGCTTGTCTTCTAGCTCATTATAAGTCTTAGAAACACTCGTGAAACTCTTGAGCTTTATGGACAAATTATTTAAATTGGCATGATTTTCCAATGTCCATTATGAGCTTCATAGCCCATACAATCATGATCATTTTCAATCATTAGTACAATGAGCACATGAGTATATATGTTCTTGTAGGATGAATTTTATTAGGATTTATAGTAACTAACAAAGAAGAGAGAGAAATGTATTGGGAGACGCAATACTTGTTTTTTACTTATATGGAGAATATACAAATGATCAAGTGGCATTGGAATTGATTCGGTCATTTTTGAGGTAATCAGTTATGTATTGATATTATTAAAGATTCATATGGTAGAGTATTGTCTAGTATAGAAACTAATTGTGGTGTAATACGATAGTTTCCACTTCATGTTGGTTTACATTAAGGTTCAAAATTAAGTTGGTATCTTTTTTTATTAGTTATGTTGATACTTAGAATGCAGATTCATTGAAATGTCTTGGTGTATATTTTTTGTAGATAATGTAATTTAATTCGGTGAGATATTCACAAAAATATGTGAAAAATTAGATTATTGGAGGAAATGTTTAAAAGATTTTGACCTTAGAATTTATAATGATTGATTGTATGATATGTAAATTTTGAGTAGATGTTAATAATATGATCATTTACTATTATTTGAACATAAAGTGATACTTAGATGTGATAGATTCAATTGTCTTGGATCAACCAAAGATTAAAGATATAATTAAGGATATAGATTTTAGATTTATTATTCGATGGTTAAAATGGATAAGCATCTCAGGAATCCTACGATTAGATGAAAGTAAGGAGGTTAAATGTAATATAAAACATAAAGTAGGCTAACGATGTTGATGGATCTGAATGTTGGGCTGTATGAAAGTCATTGATATCTAATCTGCACGTGATAAAAATAAAAATGTTAAGAAGAATGAGTGGAATAATTAGGAAATAAGGAATGGCTATATCGAAAAAATATTGGAGTGTCATCTATAATTGAGAAGATGACTGATTAATGATTAATGATTTGTTTGTTTGAGCATGCTAAGGAATGGTAGAAATTCATATGTTAGACGAATAGCTATAATTAGTGTCATAGAATTAAAAAGCAAAAAGGGTTAACCTATGGTTATTTTAATGATCTCGTGCTTATTTGACTTTTGTAACCAATCATAGTTGCACTTCCAATTTCTCCATCTTAAAATTCATTATTACATTTCTCTTATCTATATATTTTGTTCAGGTAGTTAATGACTTGCTTAACCCTGCTGGCCAGAACTTGAGAATTAGGGAAGACCTTCAGGTATCAGCCTTGTACATTTGTTTGCTATTTCTTTTTTAATTAACTCTCATGCTATTGTTTCTTAATTGGTTTGCTAAAAGACTTCAGTCTGTGACATTCACCAATAAGTCATAAATGACTAGAAATGAGGTATGAATTCTTAATAAATAGCACGATAACCATGGCATAATTACACTGTTTATTTAAACTATCTCTAATTTTAAATCAATTATATGCAACAAAGTTTGATTGCAACCAACAATTATTGAACAATAATAAACAACATGCTAATAATATTTGACCATTGTGTGCAATTGCTAAAACAACAAGGAGAATTTCTGCCTTAATTATATATTTAAAGGCATGTCTCATTAAATGCGATTTGAATGCTCATCAATATTAATTTCATATTACTTTGTATCAGTCCTTCTTATCACCCTAAAGGTAATGGATGGCCATCACCAAATTAATGGGGTCTTATTAATCTCCTTTCATGAAGTTGTCACTTTGCATATTATATCGACCAACAAGGCTAGCTAGAAGCATGCTAATCAATAAGTTACTCCTGTTGGCCATCTCCATCGGCCACCCTCATCCCTAACATACACACATACTTGTTGGTGTCTGTTAAAATGGTTTGTAAGGACGACAAAAGTTGTTTCTAAGGTCTTGAATTTGATTCTTCATCCACATTATAATAAATCTTATTATGTGAACTCTGAGTTTGGCGACCCAAAAAAAAAAAATTGTCAAATATGCATATACCTGTGATGTCGTGATGAAGGCATAAAAGTAGAGTGCGCTTATGAATATCCCTTTGAGTTTGATGGGTGAGACTTCTGATTCAATCCATTTAGATTTGACATGATTTTCAAAATCGGACATATGCTATATAATTTATGTTTTATCACAATAATATGAATTATTAAACTAAATTTCAAATGTTCAAAAATAAGAGAGAGCTAATTTTCTTTGCTTATTCAAATACAAGAATATCTTGGAAGTAAGTAGAGAAAACTGAACAATCAATAGCTCACCATTTCAAATTTCTTACCTTATTTGCTCAACCAAAAGTTGGAATCAAACGAACAACTAGGGCTTTTCTTCACCAAGTGCCTCAGCTGGTCCTATATTTCCCTTCCTCTTACAAATCTCTCAAGTGGCTTGGTGGTTATGTTCTTGTCTATTGAGAGATTAGCTTAAGAAGGTTATCCTCACAGTCATTGTTGTTTGGACCAAGTAATTTAAATTTGACATAATTTTCAACATCAAACTTACCCTCTTTTAGCTATTTCTCAAATTCTCACTCTAATATCAAAGGTAAATACATATTTTTCATTGGATGATACCGCATACAGGGCACCCGAAACCTTGCTAACAACAAATCAGACACTTTCTTTCAGCCATTTCTCAAATTCTCACTCAAACATCAAAGATAAAGATAAAACCCTAGTCTATATTTTTCATTTGAGGATACTACATACAAGGCATCTGAAACATTGCTACCGACAAATCATGCACCCTCTTTCAACCGTTTCTCAAATTCTCACTCAAACATCAAAGGTAAAGATAAAACCCCATCCCATATTTTTCATTTTTAAAAAATTTACAATGGTTTGATTGTGGCAAGCGTAAATGCATTGGTTTTGCGTGCCCTGTATGTAATGTACCCAAATCATTACTATCTACAAATCAATCACCCTCTCTCATCAATTTTTTACTCTAACTCAAAAATCGAAGGTAATGATAAAACCCCATCCCATATTTTTCATTTTTAACAAACTCATAGTGGTTTGATTGTGGAAGCTAAATACATTGGTTGTGGGTGTCCTGTATGTAATTTACCCAAAACATTTCTATTTACAAATCAATATTCTCTTTCATCCATTTTTCAAATTCTCACTCAAACATCGAAGGTAATGATAAAACCCCATATCATATTTTTCATTTGAAACAATTACATATGGAGAACCCGAAACTTTGCTATCAACAAATCAAGCGCCCGCTTTCATCTATTTCTCAAAGTCTCACTCAAACATCAAAGGTAAAGATAAAACCCATTCCAGTTTCCAAATCATAAAGAGAAAGCCACAAATCTCAAAATCTAAATTCTCACTTCAAACCACAAATAAGAAAACCAGAAATAGCAAAATCCAAATTCTCATTTCAAACCGAAATGAGAAAACCACAAATCGCAAAGAGAAAGTCATTCCATCGAGAAAAAATAGGTGATATCTTAGGACGGAGAGCACAGTCAACAGTGAGAGATCCGAAGATCGAAGGGAAGAAGAGAACAGAAAGGCAACCCGTTGCCACCAGAGATCGGAGAGAAGAGGGAAAGGAGAAAGAAAACCAGTTGCCACCAGAGAGATGCACGAGAGAGGAGCGATCAAGAGAGACGTGGGTAGAAGAAATACGGATGGGCAGCGGTGAGAGGGGAGTGCAAGGTGGGTAAGCAATAAGTTCGTGAAATAAGCGGGCCATGACCCATGGCCCTCGTTTAACATAAAATTTCAAGAAATGCAGTCGGGCCGTTGTTTTCCAAATGCTTCATACGACGTTTTAAGAATGCACCACATCAAATAAACTGTCCCAAACCGGCCCTTATTATATCAATGAAACACCATATAGCCAACAAAAAAATTCATAGAAATTTTATTTCACTTTCATTCTGGTCTCGACAAAGGTTGTAATAGTCAACTTGATTCGATATTTAGCTTCTATTTGACTGGTAGGGAATTTAACAATAAATTATGCTATACTACTTTTTTATTCTTGGCCACCTAAGTAGTCCTTTAAAATCTTGTTATAATTATTTACATCTTGGATGAACGTTATAACATGAGTAACGTGTTTTTCATTGTTTTTTCCTCTTAATTCATCGATATTAAGAACACAAATTTTGCCTCTTTAACAATTCTTTCTCATTTTTATTATACTCCTTTATATGTTCCGTTCTTACCAATCTTGAAATAATTTGAAAATTAACATCTTATGGTAGTGCATCACATAGATTTTTTAGATGGATTGCACTATCATTTGATTCAATAACAATAAACTTTTATTAACATACTTGACTAATGATATTTTCAATTGACTTATTTTTGCAATTAACCAACCAGATTTCATTGCTTGATGTTTTCTTCCTTTATGCTTGAGAAACAACAATTATCTTTATGATTTTATATTTCTAAATCAAGATCTTTAATAAGTTCTATTCACCCTATTTATCTTAAATTTAACTTCATTTGAGTGAAAATATGTTTCAAACTTTGATAGTTAGTAAAGAACTAACGTTTGATTCTATATAAATAGTGATTTTATACCTTTAGTGCGAAGACAATTGTTGATTGCTCCACATAATGTGCTTGATAACTTCTTTTATGATGTCTCTACTGTCTGGAAGTATATGCATTATAGCTTCTAACATGATTTTTTAGCTATCTTGAAGCATGTATTACAATTCTACCAGGCTGCATTAAAACACAAGCTAATCTTCTCAACGATACATTACTATATATTTAATTTAATATCCTTATATACCGGAGGGAATGATTTGCATTGGTGCAGTCATTAAAGATTTTTTCAATCTTTGAAAAGTTTTTCACAACAACCATTTCATTCAAATTTTATCGTCTCTTATTTTAGGTTCCGTTTGGGGCAGATTATCCGCTTTAGCGTCAGTTAAAAAACACCGCCTTACCGTTTGAAAATTGCGTTTGAGCAGCTTATCCGAAAACGCAATTGGGTTTCTACACTAAACACGGAATGCGGGTCGAACCCCGCGGTCCGTGTTTCTAGATATGCGGTTTTTCTGGATAAACACAAGCTGCCCCAAACACACCCTTAATCTCAGCGCTGCCATGGAGATTTGTGAAAATCCTCTAACAAACTTTTCATTTTAACCAACATGACCTATAAAATCCCTCTGTTGTTGTGGTTGATCTCACCCAATCTGGCTATTGCTAGAATTTTATTTTTGATCATGCTTAATAATATCTTCCCGTTGATCATGTTCAGGAAATACAATTCTTTTTAACTACAATCACATTTAAGGATTTTTGCATATAATTTATTTCCTGTTGCTTTATGTAAAACTACATGAAGATGATTAACATGAATGATTCATTTCTTTGAGTAAATCAGAATATGGTCTTTATATGCAATTATAAATATATCTAGAAATGGTATGAAAGTTTTTTTCATAAGATTTATAGAGATAGTTGGAGCATTTGTTAATTCAAAAGGCCTCTTTTTGAATTCGTAAAATTCATACTTTATGTTGAAACTTTTCTTTTTTATTTTCTCTTTAATTGTAATTGATGATATTTTAATAGTAAATCAATTTAAGAGAATATTGAAGCTCGTTCTTGTTGATTGAATAAGTCATCGATTCTAGTTGATTGATATTCCTTTTAAACTGCAAGCTGAAGTGTTCTATGTAATCAACATTCAATCTTAAACTCTAATCATTCTTCTTGACAAAAAGTATTGGAGCTTTTATGGCGACAACTTTGGTTTGATAAAACCCTACTCTAATAATTCCTATGATTAACTCTTTAATTTTTATAACCTTTTAATCTCCTTTTTATGTGCTGCTTTTGGCATAAGTATTGAACTCAACAATAAATAAATAGATAAAAGCGTATCTTTCTGATTAGAGATATACAAACGAAATCTTCTAGAAAGACTTTTGGAAACTCCTTTATTAGTGGCATATCCTTTACTCCTATCGTTTCTTCTGCTAAATTGTTTTTTTGAGCGAGAATGCTCTCATGTGTACTCTTTTTAAAATTGTGTTTTTTAAAGACTATAAATATTAATGACACTCCTCGTTTCCCAAAAATTTAAACTCTTGTAACCCTTTTTCTCCATAAAGATTGAATTTAATCACCTTCTTAAAACAATCTGCAGTTAGATATAGCTAGACAATCAATCTATTTAAAAGATTGTATATGATTTAGATGGTGGCAATAACATCAAATTTGCCCAAATTTTAAATTTGCTAACATATATTGTTAAAATCTATATGAGTTTCATTTAGCATAACAACCAATAATACTGGATGCAATATTGAAGTATTTAAACCAAAAGATTTATTAAAGTGCCTGGAAATTAAATATTATGATGCTTGTGTCAAATAAAATTCTGGCAAGTCTATTTTGAATAAAATTATATCTATAATGTGATGACATGATTTTTTAGCTTTTTTATATGATAGAGCATATATTTGAGTTTGAGTATTTTGCTGAGTCTGATTTTGACTTGGAACTAGCGATGTCATTTCTATTACTTTCTGCCTGATGAAGTTTCTTTAAGCTGGTGTAACACTTACCCTTACTTCAGCTAAAGGCTTTTGTTGAAGAGTAGGATAATAATTTGCCTTGTTGGCACTAAAGCAAGTATTAGCCCTGGAAAGATATTTTCTCTGGGGTGCTCTTCCACATTTCTCACCTAATTGTTGACATTAGAGCTTCTCCCACCAATACTTGTTTTATATTTCGTCCAAATTGAGTTCTTAGACTGTTGAGAGCTGCGCACTCATTGATTTGTCCCCACTTTTATTTTTGAAAATCTATATATCTTTGAGTAGCTTGAACATGCTACTTCATTCTTGTAGTTTTTTTCATCAATACAGAATGAACATGAATTCTGAATGAAATTAAAGGTTGTCTGATTACATCTTTTGTCCCGATAAAAATTGATGATTGGGCTTATAATTAGGTGCTGTTCATATATTGAAAGCATTGTGAATTTAGTTTTATATCACAAAATAGATCAATTTTCTTGCACAAATCTAACGAGTTTGTTTTGTATTTACCCCTTTCTAGAAACATATACACCATTCTCAAATAGTTTTCAGAAAATCATCTCATGTAAGTAGATTGGTTGCCATTCACTCAGTTTCTTCCTCAAAAGCAAAAGCAGCAGATGTTGCCCTTCTCTCTTGAGGACATACCATAATATCAAAAAACTTCACCATGCAAATCAATTAATTCTCATCTTCAATTGGTCCTCAAGTTCTAAAAAAATGGTGTCTTGGAATAACATCAAATACTTATTCTTTTTAGGTTCCCCATTTCAACTAGCTTGGGATTGGACAATTTGGATGAATTGTTTTATTGCTACCATCATATGTGTAAAACCTTCTATAGTGAAGTTGGTACCATTAGACCGAGTCATTTATTTCTTGCTTCCTCATACTTTTCTTTTATCCTCACTTCTATGGTATTCCCATTAATATTGTCTTGACCAAAATACATGGGTTGAACCAAATCTTCTAATTTAATAATTTAATAAAAACTTATTATACTTTTTATATCCACCAAATCTTCTAATTCTCTAATGATAATTCATTGATTATTATATAATGATTATTATCTTCTTAAATAATCTTTGGCTATGATATCCACTATTATTGCGCTCCAATCAGAAGTTATGTTTGAACCATAAAATTATATACTTTCAATTTATTTGACAGTCTTTCCAAAATACTCTGAATATATATTTTTTCAAAAATAGTCTTCTAATCCAAAAAAAAAAGTCTCTAAATCACAAGATTTATTTAGAAACATTTCACAAAACACATATTTTTTTTAACATAAAATTGTAAAATAAAAACCAACATATTGGTCACTATTGATACCTATTTTCTGGTGCCACTGTCCTGCTGTTGAAAGGATCCCAACTTTCACCCTTTTAAAGTAAGGGAGCTTTTATTGAAAATCACTATCATTTGCTGGGGTGAGTTAACGACAACTTAGTTTGTTATTATATTTTCTAAAAATTTAGTATGCAATATGCATGCAGAAAATTATATATAAATCATAACATACTGCTTTGTTATGTTTAGTAAGTATACATTCATGTATAACTTGATTAATGGTGAAGAAAATCATTTAATAGTTTTCATTATCGTGAAACTGAATGGTTTAACTTATCTTGTAGTATAATGAACCTGTCACCGGGGCATCATCTATTTTTGTATCAGCAAGGTGACAGATGTAGTCACAACCTTCATAGAAAAAGTTCAAACATTGAAATCATGTCTTGTAATAATTTTGTGCAAGTATAGTATTCTCTAGCCAGCATTAAAGAGGGGTGAACTATTTCTTTCTCATATACCTGCATATATTTCAAATTATCATATTCTTATAACTTTTGCAATGGCAATTTAAGTAAAAAAAAATCTCTGACAATTTAAATGAAATGATGTCTCATTAATATTAATTGAAATATGAAGAATCTCTTGTGTATAGGTTTTAAAATTTTGTTGTAAATGATCTTATAATATTAAATTCACATCAAAGTGTAAAATAGGTAAATCCTTAAAATTTTAAAGGTTAAATATAATTAAGAGAAATCTAAAAACTCACTTTTTACAGAAAGCGAGCTTGTTGCATTTTTTTTGAATGTTATCTCCCTGATGTGATACTCATATCAATTATCAAAATTAGTTTTTGGTTAATTTTTAAATTTTTTTAATACCTTAAACTGTTTTTAACATAATTTGTTCTTTTTATATATAATATTTTTAATTTCACTTATATAGATCATATTTAAATGATCTTTTAATTGAAAAATATAAATCTTTGCATTTTCTAATTATTTCTTGATATAGTTTAATTATTAAATTTCTAGTTTTTTACATTATAATCTTACATAGTTATACAAGTTATTCATTTCTCTTTTTACTATATTTCTAGAATTGTGCTCACCTTTTCGTAATTATATTTTTCTTCTCTTTAAAATATAAACATATGATGATTAAGTTCTGATTTTATTAAATTTATAGATTTTTACTAATCTTGTAAAATATTTAATTAACTATTTGGCGTATTCTCATAATTTACCTCTTATGGTTTCAATTATTATTATTATTTTTTCATTATCATATTCTAAATTTATCATCTATGTTATAGCTTTAATATTTTTTAAATTATATTTAATAAAGATTTGAACTTTTTAATAAAACTAACCCTAATTTTTTTCTTTAGTAGTTTTATTTAACTAATGCATTATATTTTTTTCAAATGAAGTTTATATATATATATATATATAGTCATTTCAAGACTCCAAAATTAAAATTTAGGGTTACTAATTTTTTTTATAAACTAAAACAAAAATTTAGATAAAATTTTATTCCAGATTATTGCACTAATTTTCTTTATGCACTTCTCGGTCGGTTCAATCTGCTCTTCTTCCATTTTGGGTTACAATCTCTTTGCGTCTCTCTCTCTCTCTCTCACACACACACACAGGCACTCTATTTTCTTTTTCCCAAATCATTTGGCTCGCAGCCTTTTTTTCTAAAAAATATGCTAGGCTGCTCAGCATCACTCACATTCCCCCTAGTCTCCTCCATTTCAATTGGCTGCTTGGTAGCCTACTTATTTCTGTCTTTTGCTTTCTTTCACTTTGTTTTTCATTCTTTCTTTCTCACTGTTTGTGTTCTCTCTTTCTTAACTACCTTTGTCAACTATTTGTTGCTGTAACGTGCAAATCAATGATGCATGTTAAACATGTGTCTCACTAATTAAATTTAATTTTTTTTTAAAGTTATTACAAATTTTTTTGTTAGGGATTTTTTTTCCAGACAAGTTAGTTGTGAACCTTAATGAAGAATGAAATTAGGTGCCATGAGCATCTTTTTCGGACATCTTCAATACTTTAAGTAGGACAATTTTTTACAAGTTAGTTCCAGCATTTTCCATGAATTCAGTAATATAAAGCCGGTTGTGTTAATTTTCGGATGCTTATATTTTTATGCATAAATTCCTGCTTTAATATGTTACATTGGTGAATTTCTATGTTTACCAGGGCACTTTTATTGAGGGTATCAAGGAGGAAGTTGTATTATCCCCTGCCCATGCTCTTTCTCTTATAGCAGCTGGTGAAGGTGAGGTTTATGATGAGCATACATATGCTAATTAAATATGAATATTATGGTGCACATACTGTATTAGGGATGAATAATTTATTTTGGCTGAAACATAACTTTTAGAGCAATGATCCTAAAAACCTTTGATATGATTTACTAATTATTGTGCCATCAATAATTAAGTTTTTTGTTGGAGTTCATCAACATCTTGGACCCACAATTACTTGACAACAATTTTTATGCAGGCATCTTTATAGAAAGTTTGCTCAGGGTATATCAAAGATAAAATCTGACGTTGTTCAACTGGTCCATTTACTCATTCATATCAGATTGTATATCAAAGATAAAATCTGACTTTGTTCAACTGGTCCATTTACTCATTCATATCAGATTGGTTCATGTAGAAAATAAAACAATAGAAAAACTACTTAGAGTCGGGTGGGGGGGCGCTATGTATGATCGTGAACTTGGGGGGGCGCTATGTATGATCTCCCAAGGACATTACAAATAGGATTAAAATTAAAAAAAGGAGAACAAAATTAATTGGTGTCAACGATCTTTAGGAAAGTACACGGATTACAGTCCGAGAGTTGTAGGGAGATAAATCTAACGGTATAGAGCCTTGCTCTATGTGATTTTTTGAGTTCTTTGCTATTTAAGGGTCATAAATAAAGAAATCCAATGGTATAAAGCCTTCATCCGTGTGTCTTTAGTTCTTTGTTATGATTATAGCAGAAATTCAAAACTCCTCTTAAAAGTGAATGATAATGATCTGCAATTTCAAGTTTGTTTATAATATTTTTAAATGTTATGTTGTAGAGTCCCTTGGGATATGTCAACCATTTATTTTCCTATAGACACATGGGGTATAAATCCTATTTTTTCAATTTTCTCTTAGAAAGTGTCTATCAATCTCATCATATTGTGTGCAATGATGATGATTGATTTGCTATCGTAATATATTTTAATATGCTCTTTCTTCTTGATTTTTATATCAACTAATATAATTTTAACCCATAAAAATTCACAAGTCCCTTGCACAATAGCTTTAAACTCGACTTCAACAATTGATCTTGAAACTGATCTTGAAACCACAAACAATTTTTTTTTTTTTTGCTTCTCCAAGTTTTGGGATTTCCTCCTAAGAGCGTACAATACTCTAAAGTATACTTTCTATCCACCGATGATTCAACATAGTCTTCATCGGTGTATCATTTAATTTGTAGGGTATAATGTTTTTTGTGTAAATTTTTTTGCTGGGCTTGATTTAAGATTTCTGAGGATTCTTTTTCATGGTTTGAATGTGTAACTCTTTAAATTTATGCATGAATTGACTAACTAGATTTAATGCGAATGCGCCTTTAGGAGTGTAAGATAAGTAGATAAAATTTTTCACTAAAATTTGATATTGTCCCGTATCTACATTAGGTCCTTCTTCAACAAGGTCCAACGAACTTTTATACTAATTCAATTAAAATTTCACACAACTTGTACTATGTCATTTTGGACTCTTTCAGCAGATTCATGACATTTATGCTGGGGAAAAATCCCTTGTTTAGATTGAACCACTTTTCCCAAAACGTATTTGTGTTTTCATAAATTTTAAATTTCAAAATTTTCAACAAGCTTTTTTTTAGCGTTCTTTTCTCTTGATTGTCATCTCCTTTAACAATCATTTTGTTAATAGACACAATAAAGATTGATATTTTACCATCAAGTGAGTATGGTTTCATTGACTCAGTTTGTATCTCTCCTTCCATAGCTTTTGTAATCTGCCAAACCAAGTTTTGAGTGATTATTTTAGTCTATAGAGGGCATTTTTCAATATGCATTAAAAAAGTATTTTTTATATCATATTGTTGTATAGGTCACTCATAATTTGCACCTATGAATATCACAATGCGAATAATAGTTATTGTTACAAGAGCAAATGTTGATAATCATTCTTATATGATTGAATATAGTTTTTTTTTCTAATTTTTTACTAGGAAAATCCATTTGTATCACTCCGTCTTTTCATTTGGTAATTAAGTGATCTCCCATATATGATTTTTTTCTAAGGCATTCATCTTTTCTCACATGGTTTCCTTCTAATTTTTATTTTCTAGCGACTCAAATAAAATTTGTGAAATGGAAATATGATTGATGTTCATATTGATTAGAAAGACTATGAGATTGAGGGAAAAAGTTGCTCAAATGAGATGTATTGAGAGATGTGATATAAATGAGTGGTAGTAAAATGAATGATGCTTCCTAGTGACATTTTTGAGTCTTGGTCTTGCAGGAGATCTTTGTTAGACTTATTCATTCTTGTGTAAACTTGAAGGGGAATAGTTGATACAAGCTGTATATTTAAAGGATTTTTTGTTATAGGAATTTTAAGGTGAAAGTTGTCTTCAAATTTATCATCGTGATACAAATTTTTTCTTTGAAGGTGAGTTTGAGTAAAGAAACTATGGATTTCATCAGAAGTGATATCCATTGAAGTGAGTAACTTTTTTTTGTGTGAATGATAGCATTTGTGCCTTTTTTGTCGAACATAATACCTGTTGAATATACAGTTGAGAGCTATTGGGTCAAAATTTTCTCTATGGTTTAGGAATATGAGCATACACAATTCATAAAAAAATTTTATGACGGATCGTGGAGAAGTTGTTTGTAGGAAAGAATTATATCATATACTTTAGGGGACTTTTGGAATGAATTATTCTTTAGGATTTTGTTGTTTAAATAGGTGGCTGCTTGAATAGCTTCCCCAATGTTATTTTAGTTTTTGATTGTGCATGAGAGGAATCCTAGCTAGGGGTATAAACCATCCGAGCTTGAGCGAGTTTCATGCTTGTTCGTGTTCAGCTTATTTAAATTCTTTTTGTTCTTGTTCGGCTCGCGTTTGAAATGACTCGTGAACATGTTGTCCGTGTTCGACTCAATTTAAGCTTATATTCGACTCGTATTTGAAATAGCTCGAATTAAGATCATATTCGGCTTAATTTTGATTGAAATATTTTAAATTATTTTTTTACTTCTAAGTAAAAATAATTTTCTTTTCTAAACTGAAATTAATATGTTTAATTTTTTGTTCAAAATTTATTTTGTGATTTAAAAGCTTAGCTTCTCTTTTTATAGAGCTTTTCTCACATTTTTCTTTTCGTCTTCAAGATGTGGGACTAAAATGTGTTGTTTTTTTCCATTCAATCCTTGTTGTGGTCCCCACTCTCCCTCAGTGGAAAAATTATTACTCCTACTATCCTGGCCACAGCAGCAACCAACATGATGAATTTTGTGAATGTTTAATTAAGTAAGTAGATAAATATGTTTAATTTTTTTTCAAAATAAAGAGGTTACGGTCCATCAAATAAATTTAAAATACTACCCAAATATAATATTTTTATCCCCTTCTACATACAGACCACCCAGAAGAAGGCACAAGCGCTATCATTCACACCTCAATTTAAATTTTTTTCAAATTATACCACCTAAATATAATATTAAAATTACAAAGTTTAGCATTTTTTTAATACATATAAAAATTAATATAAAAAGGTATAAATATATTTTATTATTTAATTATTTTGAGCCAAAACGAGCCGGGTTTGTTCGTGTTTGTCTCGTTTATAAATCAAACTCAAAAAAATATTCTTGTTCTCCTCGTCTGCTTAACGAACGAGTCAAACATGAGTCATTTAACTAGTTAAACACGAGTTGTTTGCAAACAACGAGCTATTTTGACAGCCCTAATCGTAGCTGAACACGAGCTATTTTGACAACCCTAGTCCTAACTAGGTGACGATTTTTCCTTTCTATCACAATTTTGTTGGGGAGTGAAAGGGAAGTATGATTGGTGGATAATTCATTTTCTTTGAAAGAATGATGTTAATGTGTGCTTAAATTAATCACGAGCTTATTCGAAAATTTTGAATTTAAGAGTTAAATTGATTTTTTATCGTGACAGTGGATATAGAGAGTATAGTGTTAACATCATATTTAGGTTAAATTGAATATACTATTATTCTAGCTAGAAATATTGGGGATTTTCAAGTTCTCTAGGTATCAAGCCTAATTAATACAGAAGGACTAGAAGATCTAGAGTTTAGTTCAGGAAAGGGAACATAATGTTGTTTAGCAATTTCACAAGTTTTACGATGAAATTTTATATTTATATCTATGAAAAGTGAAGAAAGCATATATTGGAGACTTTTAGAAGAATGAAGTCCTAATCTATAGTGATGGGGCCATATTTTGTCCATAGTATGAGAGCTAAAGAAGTATGATAGTTAACTTTGATCTTCAAGAAGATATAAACTATTCTTTTCTCTTGCTTGCCCAATCATCTTTCTTATAGTGAGCTCCTGTTAAACACAATAATCAATAAAAAAAATGATTTTGCAGTTGTGATCTCTAGTAAATTTGTTAATAAATAATATGTTAACTACAATGTGTCTGAGATGTATTATATTATTGAGAGTTAAATTGGGAGAAATTAAGATGTCTCACTGTCATGCAACTATTTTTAAAGATTCATCTACAACTTCTATTTTAGTATTGCTAGTACAGGATTTGTATGGTTGAAATGTACTGACAAAATTTATTGTGTGGTCGATGGCCTTGTATGTGAGATTCATGAATGAGAAGAACTATTAGAGGCGCTAAGAATATAGGAATTAGAAATCATACCATTCTGAGCATGAGAATAAGATCCAGATGATTTTTCAAAGGAACCGAAAAAATTTCATAAGTTGTCAATTTCTTCTGAATTGAGTCTTTCCGACTCCACTAGATGAGCCTGCCTATTTTTTTGGTTTTTTCCTCCTCTATAGTCTTAAGGTTTTCCATGAAGCTTTCAACATTTGTCTTTAGTGTATCCTTTCTTTTTTCTGTAATTTCACCAGAGATTTCCTTTAAAAGAAGGGTATTGTCATTCTTTTGAAGAATGTTCAGTGAAAAAATCTCATACTTTGGTATTTAGATGTTGCATGACATAACTTGAGGGCTAGACTATTGATCATCACTGTCTTTCT